CTGCTGGTCACAGGGTTATCGCCTGGGAGGCGGGGTGAAGAAAAGTCTGCTAGCAGTCTGAATGCTCATTAACCGCCTTGAAATTCTGCTACCGGTCTGAATGCTCATTAACCGCCTTGAATTTCTGCTACTGGTCTGAATGCTCATTGACCGCCTTGAATTTTTCATCCCATTCTTTTTGCTGTTGAGGTCTACCAACAGCCCCCTAATGCTGAGATTGCCTGTTGCCTCAGGAGGTGCCGCTCCCCACCAATACATGGAGCCCTCCACCGGAGAAAAAAAGGCGATCTGTTTTTGTTGCCAGTTCCTGTTATTGGCCGCTTTGGACCCGGTTTCCAGAGGTGCAGCACCCCCCCAATAGATTGGATACATCAAAATGGGGGCAACCAGCTAATGGGGGGCTGCTCATATCACTTCCAACAGCTGGCACTCCCTGGCGACGTTCAACCCCCCACCCCCACCCCCCCCAAAAAAGCTTGTTGCCCATGGTGACTATGTTTGCCCTCTCAGTGGTTGGGCGAGGGGCAACATGAAACCCTTCGAGTTTGGGAGGCATCTATGATTGCAGGGGTCCCCTCTGTATAGCCTTCGGAGCAGTGGCAGGTAGGTAGTGAAAGGTGAAAAAGGAATTTGAGAGACGAACATAGTGCAGCTCAAGAAAAGAGAGAAACAATTTAAACAAAAAAACCCTGATTCAAGGTAACCGCGGACCCGGACACTGGACACTCCCGGACTGTCTTCCGGATCAGTGTCTGGACCGGTCCGGACTGTCTGGTGATCCGGACATCACCGGATCCGGACAGTCCGGACCGGTGTCAGGGGTGCAACAAGTCAGGACAAAAACAAAAAAAAAACAAAAAACGGGAGAGGGGTGGGGAGGGGCTGTTGCCAGGCTCTTACCTGCTTTGCACCTGCACCTGTCTTGCAGCAAATCAACAAGCACATTCAACTAGCAGACATGCAGTGTTGCAAACAGTGCAAAGCAGGCACAAGACTAAGGAAACAGAGGAAAAAGAAATTGAAAAAAGTATGATTAACTTTGATGTTTGAACTTTGAATTAAGTTAAATTTTAAGTTCATAATAACTTCATATATAACTTAAGAGTTTGAACATTGCAGTTCAATTCAGAACGTCAGAGTCTTCAGACTGGCAGCACTGTCAGTGCTCTCTCTCTCTCTCTCTCTCTCTCTCTCTCTCTCTCTCTCTCTCTCTCTCTCTCTCTCTCTCTCTCTCCACAACAGCATGGTGCGTGGCAACGGGTGATCGTGACTGGACTAGTTGCATGCCATGGACAGGACGTGTATGCTGTGAAAGTAAAACCTCGCACGTGTTGTCCAATTTTGCAAGTCTCTCTCTCTCTCTCTCTCTCTCTCTCTCTCTCTCTCTCTCTCTCTCTCTCTCTCTCTGCAATGGGCAGCAGCGGCGGGCGGCACATCTAAACGGCCGCTTTGAAATTGCTCGGGTCTTTGTGAAACCCGCCACCCTGAGAACCTGCAATGTCTTGTGTCCAGATGTTACATGCTGCGCCTGCACACGAGGGCCATTTTTCAGGCCCTGCATCCTTCAGGCTAAAAGCCTGAAAACCAGGGCCTACAGGCCCCGTGACTGTTCAGCCCGAAAGCCTGAAAACAGGGGCCTACAGTCCCTGTGTCTTTTCAGACTAAAAATGGCAACAGCCTTTTTAGCCTGAAACGAAGGGCCATTTTCGGTCGTTCATCAGAACGACCGGCCCTGAAACTCAGGCACCGAACCAGGGTTTCGGGAACAGGCTATTCTTAGCCTGTTCCCATGCCAGCCTCAGCAGATGCTGCAGCGCCAGCCCCTGGCACACTTTGGCATTGGCAAGAGCAGCCTCCTCGGCCTGGCCCGCCCTTCAGGCAGGCCGAGGTAGTACATAGGGACTTCCCATGCACTTCACGGGTAGGCAGGAGGCAGTAGTCTTCAGGATTCGGCCGCAGCACTCTGGAGGGAGCGCTGCAGGAGTAGTAGTAGCGTTAGCCTTAGTCTTCAGCGCTGGGCGCAGTAGGTAGCTGTAGTCTCCAGCGCTGGGCGCCATAGCTAGGATAGTACTAGAGAGAGAGAGAGAGCTTGGGCGGAGGCCAGAGGTACTTACCTGCAGCGCCGTTGCTCCAGCTTCGTCTTCGAGGTACCTGCAGCACAGCGCCAACTTCACAGGTTAGTACTTGGCTCGTAACAGAGAGAGAGAGAGTTCTTCTTCTTCCTCTTCTCAGTCCACCATCTGACTTCACTGCATCAGCAGACTACGAGAGAAGAGAGAGAGAGCTTGGTGACATTGGATCCAGACTCGACTTTTGGACTTCAGACATTGCAACGAGGGATTATTTGGTACTCGTGACAAAGACTCGGTGGTGACGACATTCCCATCTTTCCCTCTCCTCTTCGTCTGATCCCCTCCTCTTCGTCTGTGTATGTCTGGACCTGGCGCTTCCTTCCTGTGTACAGCGCCAGGCTCCTTCACACTGTGTGGTGAGCATGATGTATGTTTGGTCTACGATGAAACATTGATTGGGCTAGTCATCAGTATTCTAGCATTCTGTTTCGCTATCTTGTACTACGTGATAAAGGTCAGTCTTGGTCAGGTCAGGTCTTGTATCTAAATCTTCCCTGCGCTATTCAAACACCATTTTGTATGTATCGGAATGCACATTGCTAATTGAGATTCCACTTGCACAGCATTGTCCATTCAGTCCTTTTTATCACATTGCAGATCCTCGGTTATTATATACATCGCCCATCTGGGCATGTAACAGTTGGTATTGGAACGCCGCACGTGAATCAGGACAACCTGATCTGACACGTGTGCAGGGACTAGATAGCTGATTAGTCTTTATTGATTGATTAGAGCACACTAGTTAGACCCCAAAATCACGATTTTGGCCTTACTGCCGAACATCATTTTTTTTATTTTTTTTTTCTTGGATTTTGTTTTTCATACTTTTTCTCGCTATTCTGTTGTGGAAAATCGCAATAGCACAACATCTGAAATTTCCATTTTTGTGAGGATTGAGCCCTCAGGAAGGGGCCTTGCCATGATGTACATGTTCTGGGCTAAGGCCCCAGCAAGCCTCGTGCCCGCCCTAAGTGAAGGCGGGCCAGCAAATCAACAAGAGCCCTCTGTGCAAACGTTTCACGAAGTGGGGTCCATACAGTTGCAGCACGCCAGTTGGTTGGAGTGTACCGAGTCTCGAATCTCTGCAAATGTGGAGATCCCAGGGCCTCTGAGTTAGTTAGGCCCTGGGCACTTGAACGTGAGGCCGACAATGCATGCTGGGTATAGAGGCCGAAAATGCCAAAGGGAAATCGGCCCACTATCTGAATCTGGCCGCAGGCCTTGACGAAAGAGGCGCAACTGCATCACCCGGGCCCCAACTGCATTCGGGCCTGGGTTCAGGCACTGGGGCCCGCAGGCCGAAGGGAGGCCGCCCACACGCAGCACTGGCATATAGGCAAGCAGGGCGAGTGGGCAGGGATCCTTTGCCAATGCAGGCATTGCCGGCACGCTGCGCGAACGCCAGGTGCTGCGCAGTGTTAAGCTGCGTTGGGCACGAGGAAGACAGGCAGCGCTAATACGGTGGTGCGCTGCCTGGGCGCAGGGCGCTGGCGGCCATAGCCGGGCTGCTGGCGGGCGCAGGGGAGGTGAGGGCGAAGGTGGTTCTTCGGAGGTGAACGGCGCTGTGTGGGTTATCAAGGGAGAGTGTGGATGGAGGAGACGTACCTGGTGGAGGTGGAGGTCGGCATTGGTGTTGACATCATCACTCGCTGGTCGTCAAGTTGTCTAGTTGCTTTCATTGCTGTAGTTGTAGGCTTAGGCTGTAGAGTAGATAGGGCGCCTGGCGCCATTCAGAGAGAGAGCTACATTGGGATATGCTGTTGGTGTTGCCCTGTGGGGCTTGGACATTGACTCACGATTCTTCTGTATTGTTCTCAAATGGATGGTTACTCGGTTCCATTGTACTATCTGCTCTTGCTTTGACTACTTGGACTTCAGTGTGATTTTGCAAACTGGATTTCTGTGCTTCGTCCATATTCATGTTCCTTGCATTTTCGTTTTTTCTTCTGAAAATTCGAAATTTCGTTGTTGAAAATCCGGAATATCCTTCTCTCTTTTTTTTTTTTTTTTTTTAAACAGGGCCTTAGGGTCCTGACTCCTATTCTGGGGAGCGTCAGTCCGGTTCCTTTTCCACCGGCAAGTCATAGAAAATTTTACATCAATGGAAACTCACACACGCTTCCTTCCGTCTGGCCGAAGGACCCCTGATCAGCATTGATTACTCCATTGTGGTGGAGGATTGACTGTCAGCTTGCCCTATCCCTCTCTCTCCTCTCAGACCCGATGTTCAGATCTGTCAGATATCATCATTGTATCTAGAAAGAGTCCCTCCAATACTCTAGTCAACCTGTTTCCTTTCTCACCGCCTTCCTGACCCTTTGGGTGTACTGTCGGCCAGCCTTAAACCCTAAACCCTCCGCCTGGGCGCCTGCCCTACAATGGACCGTTTAGGAAGTTGGCTGTCTCTTTGTGACCTCCAACATTGTCCTCCTTTCTTTCTCGGTGCATCATTGTCCTTGCTTGGTACCTTACATCTTACAAAGCGATTAGGTCTTCAGATGTTGCCTGTTGTTGAGAGGCCCTTTCCGAAATTGAGTTGTGCCATCCCTTCCAGCAAAGCCGATCTTCTTGCAATTCTGAGCAGGTGATACTCCCCACCAATAGATGGAGTCCCCCCCCCCCTGCTAGTGGTGTATGCTCTTACCAGCATCACTAGCATCGTGGGAGGTGTTTTTCTTAAAAAAAAAAAAAAAAAGCTTGACGGACTGCTAACCTCACAGGCAGATTAGTGTAGGACTGTTGTATGCTACCATAGCCAGTACTAACTAATGCTGCTGTAAGTGAACCAGTCAGGGTGCATCTAGACTATGTAGACGATCTGTGTGAATGTTGTAGACATGCCACTTGATTCGGTATAGTAGGGGACTTGCCGGACACAACTATATATAGAAAATTTTGTGTCGGTCAGATACATGCTGCGGTAGGATTCCACTAGGGGATTCTAGTGTAGACACTATCTGTCTAACTAATGAGTGGGTCAGAWCCTRTTGATGATAGAGYTGACAACAGGAGACTAACACGTGCACGGGCACTAAGGGTACCGCACGTGTTTCAGGCCTTGGAGCCGGGAGAAGAAAGAAGGATACGTAGAGCCCGTGCGCTAGCAGCGGGGATAGCCGAAGCAAACAGAGCAGCAAGAGAGCAGGCAACAGCAGCCAGAGCAGCTGCGATGGCTAACGGCGCAAGCTCTGCTGCATCATCATCTGCGTCCTCGCCAGGGACTAATGGGAGCTCGTTGGGAATGCCAACGAGTTCCACAAGTTCCTTAGGCACTTCCGGTTCCACAGGTTCTAGACATTCTTTAAATCAAATGGCAAGCTCGCAGTTCAGCCCCATGACCGCACGTGAGCGGGAGCTCAGAGAGATCCAACAGGTCGAGAGGCTTCGCCGTAAATTAGAGAAGGACCTGAAAGAGGCGACCGATAGAGAAAATGAAATGAAAACTAGAGCAGTCAGGCTTGAAACTTTAGAGGCTGACAAGGCTGAACTAGAGGGCTTGGATGAGGCAACAATGAATGCCCAGATGAAAGTGTTGAAGAAGAATGTGTTGTCGCTGCACGCGCATGTAGACAGCAGATTCGACTTCATGCAAAGCACTCTAGACCAGATCCTGGACGCTTTGACAAGGCCAAGATACCGGCCACGAGCACAATCGTCGTTGCCGTTATCGGCGATATCAGGCCCCTTTCCGGTTCAAGCTGGCACACAGCCAAGTGGCACATCTGCAACAGGCGCACAGACTGTTGCATCTTCTTCTTCGGGTCCAGCGGTGGTTGCTACACCACCGCAACAGGCTAGTCCTCCACAAGGACAGCCACAAGGTCAATGGTATCCCAAGACCCCAATGAAACCTCCTCTTGCCTTCTCAGGCGAGAGAAAGGACGAAGAACTCAACACATGGTTGAGGACCGTCCCGGTTTGGGTGAAGGCCAAAAGGACCTTGCCTGAGGACGAAGTGGTAACTGCGGCGTCTTACCTAGAGGGTAAGGCAGCCAAATGGTTAGACGGTGTAGTTGTGAAGGCTGGGTACGGGCAGCGCATGGCGGATTGGGCTAAGTCTTTGACTTTAGACCAATTTATGGAGATGGTAGAAGCTCGATGGCATAACCCACAGGAGGCTCAAAGGGCCACTGATGCCATTAACAAACTTGACCAACGCAAGTTCAGGTCAGTTAGGGAGCTTACGACTACCGTCGAGAGCCTGATCCTCGTCCAAGGCATCAACTACAGTGACCAGTTCTTCTTAACCACGTTTGTTAGATGTCTACCTGAGAACATGAGGAACTTACTAGCGAGTGAGGCACGCACTGAGTACCACTCATTTGAGACATTGTCTAGGAAAGCCTTAGATTTAGAGGCCACGCTAGGCAATGCTCAACCCACCTCAGGGAATGACTCAAAGAAGAAGAAGAGTCCTCAGGAGTGGAAAAAGAAGGGGGCGAAGTTGATGATGGTTAAGTCTGATGGGACTCAAACTGAGATTGATGAGCTCTCTGACCTGATGGACTACTCAGAGTATGACGACGAGGAGGTAGTTGAGGGTAGCACCCTTGCCGCGGTAGTAAAGACTAAGGCAGGTGGTCGAGGGAAGGGCCAACCTACGAGTCAAGGGAAGGCCACCTCCAATCAGACCAAACAGTCTGAGTGGGTAAAGGCAGGTCTTGATCAAGACGTGTGGCGTGACCGCCGAATGCGTGACGCTTGCATCAACTGCGAAGAATACGGACACACGCAATGGAAGTGTCAGAACACTAAGGTTACGCAAAAGGTTGCTCCAAAAGTAGGGACAACCTATTCCCAGACTTCTAGCTCGGGAAACGCGTAGGCCCAGTGGAAGTAGTAGCAGCTTCTACTCAAGATGAAGTGGGAATGATACCCTCCTCACTTCATGACAAGGCCGAAGCTAATGACTCCCTAGTCACCCCGCAGACACAACTAGACCAAACTATGCTCCGTACGTTAGCTGTGTCTGAGGCCTTAGAAGACTTAGAAGGCGAGTGGTCAAACAAGGACCCTCGCGAATCTTGGGTGGCGCTAAAGGAGAGTCCTAGAGGGGAACATTTCGTGGTGGAAGTGGATGTAGGGGGCCGCAAATGTGGAGCCTTCATAGACAACGGATCCACGCGAAATTACATAAGTCGCGATTGTTTGGAAAGGCTGCACCTACAGGACCGGGTACGGCACCTTAGTAGACCAGTAGCATCTACTTTGGCCAACAAAGAGTGCATGATTGTCACAGACTACATCAAGGACATAGTCTGTACCTTCTCCTATGGAGGAGGAGAGCTTAACCATAAGATCTCGTTCTTGGTTAGCGACGACTTGCCATTCGAAACGTTGTTAGGCAGGTACTACCTCGAAGTTGCTAAGCCCCAGTTCGACTGGGATAAGAAGGTGCTTAAGCATAAGTTGCCCGATGGCCGAACTGTCAGATTGACTAAGTTCAAGGCCAGCAGTATTGTAGATACCTATGGCTGCTTGTGTGCATTAGCGTTCTATAACTACTACAAGCAAAACAAAGAGGAAGGTATGTACCTCGTTTACGTCTCTGTGAAGGGGGAGGCCGTTAAAACACCCCCAGAGATAGAACGCGTCGTTGCTAAGTTCCCTGATCTGTTCGAGGAGCCCACATGAGTTGTTGATAGGGAAGTCGTCCACGCTATAGAAATCATTCCAGGGAGTAAGACCCCAAAGGGAAGGATCTATAGGATGACCCCTGCCGAGTTAGATGAACTTCGGAAGCAACTCAAGGAGCTGACAGAGAAGGGTTGGATTCGACCTAGTACTTCCCCTTACGGATCACCTGTGCTATTCGTACCAAAGAAGGGGGGTACTTTGAAGATGTGCATTGATTATAGGGGCCTCAATGCCATCACTGTGAAAAACGCAGAGCCTCTACCTCGCATAGACGACCTATTGGATAGGGTGCAGGGATGCAAGTACTATACAAAGATTAACTTGAAATCCGGGTATCACCTGATCGCAATAAGACCTGAGGACCAACACAAGACAGCTTTTCAGACTAGATATGGTCTGTATGAGTTTGTAGTGATGCCTTTCGGTCTTTGTAATGCGCCGGGTACGTTCCAGCACGCTATGAATCGGATTTTCCATGACCATTTAAATAAGTTTGTCGTGGTCTACTTAGACGACATTCTGATCTTTAGTAAGTCTGCCGAGGAGCACGCACAGCATGTTGAGACAGTTCTCTCACTCCT